ACTATTGGAAAGCTTTAATATCCATACCGGGAGGAAACTGGGGATAGTGAAAAATGTGAGCTAAAGGATGAAGAGCAGAGACCAGCAAAGAACACTTATAAAGAGTGTCACAAAGAGTGAGAAAATGTAGGGACCAAGGTTGGAGGCCAACGCTTGGATGGGCACCACAATAAAAAGTCTAAAGTGTATTGTAGGACTGCATGTTTTTCCATAGAGGCCATATAAGGCTTGGTTCCACTCGCGTACACGATTGAAATTTGTGTCTGTTACGCCACTTTATAGTACCACCACAGATTCAGAAATTCGAGCCCCCCTTGAAAACAAAGCCAAAATAACATGTCTTTAGCGAGTCAAAGTCCATTCTTGCCCCAGATAAAGTGAATTATCAAAGATTGGAATCTATTAAAATGGTATTTTACAATTGGTATGGGAAGCAAGCGGAATAAGTATAGAATACGGGGCAAAAGTGTAAAGTTTATGGCATTGATCCGATTCAGTCAAAAAAGACCATATTGTGACCACTGTGCAAGGTCCTCTTCTAGTTTCTTATATAATGGGGGATAAAAAATCTTATACTATAATTGATATATAATCTTATAATATGATTAATCAATATTATAATTGATCAATGTGGGAGGCCAGGTGAACACCCAGGCATGGGATAGAAGGTTGCTCCATGTAAACGAAAAGTGATCTCACAATCGGTCAACCAGCGATAGAGGGATAGTAACGTTTAAAGCCATTGATTTGGACATATTAACTTAAGGCCTGAGACCCTTCCGAATGCCTGTAGCAATCTAAAGATATTTGGTGTTGACAAAAGCGGTGAAGTTACCAAGAAGGAAAGGTTGTCGGCCAATAGGGCACATTTATGGGTTTGCGTTCCATATCAAACGCTGTGGATGTCAGGATAGGTTCTAATTTCTTTGGCCAGAGTTTCTATTGCTATTGCAAAAATATTAGGGGTCATAGGGGACACCCTTGTCTTGTGCACTTGGTTATACTGTATGTATAGAATCAAAATAGTAACCTTGTAATCGCACCCGGGCAGTCAGGTTAGAGAAGAGTGCTCTTAGGGTCCCTAAAAAGTGTGGACCAAAACCTCATCTGTCAAGGATAGCAAATAGATACAGCCAAGAGACTGTATCAAAGGCTTTCTGGAGATCGATAGATAACAGAAAGCCCTCCTGAGGGCAACCCCCATCCCGACCACATATTAGATATCACGTCAATCGCCCTTCTTACCTGGTCTGGTCCCTCTCTTCCCGGAATGAAGCCCACTTGGTCTTTGTGAACATATACACTAATGAAAGAAGCTAGCCGATTTGCTAATAATTTAATCAAGATTTTCAAATCATTGTTAATCAAGGAAATCAGTCTGTATAGGTGAGGTCACTAGAGTCTTTTCCAGGTTTAGAGATGACCATTATATATGCTAAAATAGAAACTTCATCCAGGGGCTTACAATTCCTTAGAGAATTAAAGAAATTAGTCAAATAAGGGGAGAGGGTCAAAATAAAAGTTTTATAGTAGCAAACCAAAAACCCATCTGGACCCAGAGCAGCAGGGATTGTTTAGGCGGTTAGTGGTTAAAAAATGTCCACAGAATTAAAATTCATCTTTATTTACATTGAAAATAAACAATGAACAATGGCCACTAACCACTGAAAGACAAAACTCACCTCCTGTTGCTCACTCACGATTGACATCTCCTGATTCCCGCTGTCAGAGGTAAACAGGGGGCTGGGTCTCTAGGGTGATATAATTGACCAAATATGATGTTTAAAGTTCACACCAAACCAGATAAGTTTAGTATGAATATTGGTGTGGCCCCATGTTTTTTTTTTGTTCACATTGTTTCCTTTTGTTTACATTCCTTGTCATCCAGATGAGTTATGGTTGTTAGGATGCCAGCTTCCTAAGAACCAGCCTGAGGGAAAGTTGTCACATTTACCAGTGGTAGTAATCTCACTGCTAATTGTATCACTTCCCACTGTTGCCTGTTGTGAAGTTGTCACATTTAACAGTGATGGTAGCAACAATGCTAAATGAATTGCTTTCCGCTCTTGCCATAGGTTTGACTTAGCTGGGCACCAATATAGTTTGGTGGTTTGCCGAAACTCCAAACAAGCAAATTCGGACCAATCCAGCATCCCTCATCCCTACATCTGAGTAAACTTCCCAGTTTATGCTACGTAGACCCATTTTTCATTATATGCACATTGGTACCTTTTATTCGAAAGACGAATTGAAATTTACAAAATCATTTAAAGAATACATATGTTGTAAATTCACCTGAGTCATACAATAAATCCACATGTATTATGCTTTTGATAAATTGTTTACATAGTGGTAACAATATTTATTTGAATTTTGGAGAATTAAAGTGTAAGCAAACTCTAGCAATGAATTTCTCATTTTTTTTCTCTTATTTGGTCTGTTAACTATACCATTTTGTTATATCTGTGTGATAAATGCTAAAATTATTACCTGTCGATCCTGGCAGAAATCTTGTAAGTTGATAATTTCCTTTGCTCTCTGCTCTAGCTGACTGTTATCAGTTACCGTTGTACCCAGCTATCTCTGAGGAGATACTGTATGTTATGGAGGAGAGAGGGAGGTGTTCTGTGGTCCTGTCCCAGGGTGACAATGCTGCTCCTTCATACATAACATAGAGAGACACCCTAGGAAAGCCTTTCTCAATCTTTTCAATGCAGAGGAACCCTTGACATAACTTTCCGGTCTCAGGGAACCCCTGCTAAAAATGACTTTATCTACAATTCATGATACATTAGTGTGATAGTTAGAGGTAAGAATGCTCCTTAAACTTGTGGTCATTAGGAAGAATTACCCCCTTACAGATTACTAAAAAGATCATTGGTGTCAGTGGGAACTTACCTGAGAGGCAAAAATTGCTTATTGCTCAAGGAACCCATCAGAGACATGTTGGCCATGGCATAGCTGAGGCTCGTAGCCACATGCGAATGCACAGGCGCGGGTCTGCAGGTGCTTGTACTGTTGTATGTGGCTGTACGCATATGCACACACACATATGCACATGCGTGGGTGTATGCACACGGAAATGTGCATTGGCTAATTCTGGTGTCTACTGACCTATATAGGTGCAGTAGCTGCACTGGTGAATTGCTGTCTGATCTACAGCCCCCCCTAATATTCCTGTGCCTGATCCTGTGACTGATACCTGTGTTGACCCCAGCTTGCTTCTTGGACTCCACCTCTGGCTTCTGTATCTGCCTGATCTGCTCCCACCATCACCGACCTTGGCTTGTGACCCGACCATTCTTCTGCCTGTCGTTCATGCTTGATCCGCTTATCTGTTACTGACCCGGCTTGTCTGACCCTGCATACAGTCTGCTCCCAGCCTGCTCTACTGCCTGCCTGCTCTGCTACCAGCCAGTCCAGATGTGACATCTGCCTGGTAACAGCCTGCTCTGCTGCCAGCCAGTCCAGATGTGACGTCTGCCTGCTACCAGCCTGCTCTGCTACCAGTCAGTCCAGATGTGACATCTGCCTGCTACCAGCCTGCTCTGCAACCAGCCAGTCCAGATGTGACGTCTGCCTGCTACCAGCCTGCTCTGCTACCAGCCAGTCCAGATGTGACGTCTGCCTGCTACCAGCCTGCTCTGCTACCAGCCAGTCCAGATGTGACGTCTGCCTGCTCCCCCCTGCCTGCTCCACTGCCTGCCTGCTCTGCTACCAGCCAGTCCAGATGTGACGTCTGCCTGCTACCAGCCTGCTCTGCTACCAGCCAGTCCAGATGTGACGTCTGCCTGTTACCAGCCTGCTCTGCTACCAGCCAGTCCAGATGTGATATCTGCCTGCTACCAGCCTGCTCTGCTGCCAGCTGGTCTAGCCATCCCTTCTGCCAGCAAAATGCCAGCAATTCTCGCACAGACTACAGTACCGACCAGGCACTTATACCCCGCCGTGCTCTTGTGGTTGATGTCCCACCTTCAATGGCCCTCGAACCGGAGCCATACGAGAGGCCTTCCTCTGCTGTCAGGCTCACAGGTAAGGCACATGACAGAACCCCTGGAAACCTCTGGAGGAATCCTGGTTGAGAAACCCTGCCCTAGGAAAACTGTGTTATTTGCAAGATCATCAGGTGAAAATAAAGAAATAAAAAGGCTATAAAAATTAAATCAACCACTATGTTCAATCAGCCACTGGTAAGCTGCAATATATTTAATACTTCTTTTTGAGTTAAGATAAACTAAACAAAGAAACTTTGACAGTATTGGAAATGGAATGCATTGGGGTGACTAGAATCAGAAACAGTCTAAGGCTACTATAGTGATTCTCAATAGAGAAACTTTTAGCATTGGCATACTGTAGACTGGAACTTCAGGATTTCTGCACAGTGATGTATTACTGTTCTGTGTATGTCCTCTGTAATTTGATGACCTGATATTCTGGTGTATTCATAACACACACAGCTGAACCAGACTACTCCCGCTTGCTAACTCATACACTGTAGAAGCAAAAAAATCAGTAGTCAAGTATGCCCTGCATCATAACCTTAATGAGAGCACTGTGCATTATTCTTTCTTTTTTTGGGGGGGGGTTAAAAATCTACCGTATTTTTCGCTCCATAAGACGCACCTGACCATAAGACGCACCTAGGTTTTAGAGGCAAAAAACAGGAAAAAAAATATTCTAAACCAATGGACTGCAGACATAGTACAGGAGATGACCAGAGACTGCGGACACAGTACAGGAGATGACCAGAGACTGCGGACATAGTACAGGAGATGACCAGCGACTGCGGACACAGTACAGGAGATGACCAGAGACTGCAGACATAGTACAGGAGATGACCGGAGACTGCGGACACAGTACAGGAGATGACCAGAGACTGCGGACACAGTACAGGAGATGACCAGAGACTGCAGACATAGTACAGGAGATGACCGGAGACTGCGGACACAGTACAGGAGATGACCGGAGACTGCGGACACAGTACAGGAGATGACCAGCGACTGCGGACACAGTACAGGAGATGACCAGAGACTGCGGACACAGTACAGGAGATGACCAGAGACTGCAGACATAGTACAGGAGATGACCAGAGACTGCGGACACAGTACAGGAGATGACCAGAGACAGCAGACATAGTACAGGAGATGGTCAGAGACTGCAGACACAGTACAGGAGATGACCAGAGACTGCAGACATAGTACAGGAGATGACCAGAGACTGTGGACATAGTACAGGAGATGGTCAGAGACTGCAGACATAGTACAAGAGATGACCAGAGGATTGCGGACAGCACAGGAGATGACCAGAGACTGCGGACAGTACAGGAGATGACCAGAGACTGCGGACAGTACAGGAGATGACCAGAGACTGTGGACAGTACAGGAGATGACTGCTGACCTTTGGGGAGGGGGGGAGCGGGTACCTGAATTTGACAGGTACCCGCTCTTACTTCCGCGGAGTTGTTCTTTGGTTAGTGTCCGCTCTGCAGTGGGACCTTAACTGTTCCTCTATCCAGCGCCGAGCTGTCTTCCCGGCTTCAGTAGTGTGGGCACTCGGCTTGACAGCCGGGTGCCCAGTGCGCATGAGCAAGAAGCGGTGCACTTTGTGATTGGTCCGGTGGCTTCTGGGACCTGTCATGTGTCCCAGGTGCCGCCTTACCATTCACAAAGCGCACCGCTTCTCGCGCATGTGCACTGGGCACCCGGCTGTCAAGTCGAGTGCCCACACTACAGAAGCTGGGAAGACCATACAGTGCTGGATAGAGGAACAGGTAAGGTCCGCTGCAGAGCTGAGCGGCTGGCCCTGTATTCTGACACGGCGGCGGTGGAAATACCGGACCAGCCGCTCCATGTTCGCTCCATAAGACGCACTGACATTTTCCCCCTTTTTTGGGGGGAAAAAAGTGCGTCTTATGGAGCGAAAAATATGGTAATTGTTTCTAGTAAAGTAGGTATTGAAAAAATGTTATGAATTATTTATTTGTGAACATGTAAACACTGTATAGACCTTATTCACCTTTAAATTAAATGGACAAGGGTTTTGGGTTCTTTCTTTTAAAGTATCTTTTTTAGGTAGAACGTCAGAAAAAAAAAAAGCTATATTTAAAGCAGTTTTAAAGGCTGAAGGTTTTTTACCTTCATGCTTTCTATGCATGAAGGTGAAAAAACCTTCTGAGTGCAGCTTTCCCCCAGCCCCCCGTCACGTACCTGGTTGGGGAGCCCGACGTGGAGAGGAGGTGTCCTCTTACTACTCTCGCTCGGAGCACCTGATAGTGGGAATAGAGGGCACAGAGCCAGGAGTGGCATGAGCAGGGGGCGGACTGACAACTCATGGGGCCCCCGGGCAATAGGGGATCATGGGGCCCCTGTGTCTTTGCCCAAACTCAAAAAAGCCTATGAAAAAGGTACCAAGGGCATCTCATGGGGCCCCCTAATGACCCTGGGCCCTCGGGCAGTCCCGAGTTTCCAAATGGTCAGTCTGCCCCTGGGCACGAGTGTCGAGTGGGTCTGGAGCTGATGGTAGGCAGGTGAAGACCCAGAAGATTCGGATGCAAGCCAGGTGCTGATGTAGGAACATGGGTGCAGCAGCAGGCAGGTATGGCGGCAACCAGGATGCAGACCAGGTGCAGGAACATAGGTGCAGCAGCAGGTAAGTATGGCAGCAACCAGGATATAGGCCAGGTGCAGATACAGGTATGTTTGTGCAGCAGTGTCAGACAAGCCAGGTCAGGATCAATCAAGAGGATCAGGTACAAGGGAGCGGGCAAGCGGATAGTCAGGGATAAGCTGGGTCGGTGCAGGCGGAGTTCTTTCTTAGTCAAGGTCAGATCCGATACAGGCAACAGAATCAGGTTATGAAGTGCAGAACGTTATAGACCAGAAGGCATAGGCTAAACTGTGCTGGTGGTTTAAATAGCCCACCTTGCGGTGACGTGTACGCTAGTGCTCATGCGCTCTCGCACCACCACGGCTGGCAGGGATCCGGCGCCGACGCATGGCTGCATGACGGCAAGGGAGTGATCCCTGACACCCTCTCTTTACTCACCTGAGCCTGATCTCAATCCAGGGATGTACACAAGAGCAGCATCTCTCCTGGGTGTTTTCCCTCCTCACTGGCTGGGATAAAGCAGCAGGAGCCAATGGCTGTCATTTACAGGTAATGAGGAGGGAACAGGGGAAGCTCTGTGAGTCTTATAGACACACAGAGGTGGCTCAGAAGTGAGAACACAGCTTGCTCTGGGGGCACTCAGCAATGGGAAGGAGCCAGGAGCGCAGGCCGGGGGACCCAAGAAGAGGAGGATCAAGGCAAAAACATATTTATTGTTTATTATTTTAATTTGAAAAAAAAAATGAAGGTTTAATGTTACTTTAAAGATTGCACCAGCTTCAGCAGGATAGAGGAAAAACTTCACACTACAAAAAATGAAGAAGGCAAAATAAAATATAAGTTTAGAGTCCTTACTAGTTGTATGTTGAACTTTATGAATGGGATTGTGTGTTTTTCTAGCAATTAACTGCAGGGTTTCACCGTGTTGAAAATGTAGAAGTCAATCTGCTGAAGATTTACTACTGCTCAGGGGGCCTGGGCTTCAGCAATAAGGCAGTCTCGACCAAGAAGAAACAGGAACAATGCTGGAGGAAAAATACAGCACACACTAATTTTGGTAGCATATTTATTAATGTGGATGTATGTTTCTTGCTAAAGAACATTTTTTTTTTATTAAGTTGTTATGGGCAACGCTCCGCTTTACAACGATCAAAAGCTTCAAAGCTATGGGCAACTAAAGTTATATGCAGAGATCACTTTTTGCCACTAAGATTGTTGCCCTGCCCCCTCCCACCTCTAGGCTGACTCCAGTAGGAAGACTCTACTGTATGTATCATTTTGACAAACATTTTTCACTGAAGGGAACTTCTGCTTATGTACTGTTTTATGTATGATATGCTTTTTCACTTGACTTTTTCTATGATAGTTTTATATTGGAGATTGACATGTCTTGATTTTCTGCTGTTATGGCAGCATGCCTTTCAAAAGTAATATAGATATTTGTCTTGGAAGATCTCAGCATGCTATAAAACACTGGGGGAGATTTCTTAAGACAGTAGGGTGCCACTTGTCATGCGATTTGGAACTGTCAAATTGCATTACAAGTTGCACTGGTGTGAACCGGGGCTAAAACCTTGAAGATGATTGGTTACTATGCACAGCTGCACCAGATTCTGTGTGCACCAATTTTAGTTAATCCCCCCACCCCCGTGATCTTATCTCATATTTGACAAAGTTAAAATATTTAATAAAACTATCCTTAAAACATTTATTATGGATCAAAAATATGAAGTTACCATTTGTCTGGTATAAACACATTTGCATGCTGCAAAATACTTGAATAGCTATTTATCAACATATTACAGCATTGTTTAGTACTGCTGACAAGATACACCCTTATTACAACATCCTGACTCTGTCACAAGTTTGCCTTGCTAAAAAATAAAAAAAAAATATTTTTTTTTTTTTTTATTCCAGAAGAAACATGTTTTTACTCTACAGAATTATCTGCCTTCCTCCTAAACAATCATTCTTTTTTACTTTGAAGTTTCATTCATTACCTGTGTCAAGTCAACAAAGGCAGCAAGACTAAGGCAGTCCTCCATTTTTTTCCTACTGCCTAATTAGATGTAATTACTTTATTTTATCCCAAGGTTCATACTTGTAGCATTGCCTTGTAATAATTGAAATTGCATGCATGGTCAAGGGACTGTTTGACGCCAGAGCGGAGACGTTCCTGCTGTCACTCCCTTCTACAGCGTCTAGGTGAAACATACAGAGACCTCATCATCCTGCAAAGTACTTATTAACTTCATTTTACTCTGTCAGTGGACAGGATGTGTACTGACCCACTGTTGATCTTAAATAGGACTGAAATCCAACTCTGTACTGTAATTGGCTCGCTAGTTACACAAGTCCTTAGAGGCTGCGATTGCAGACATACGAAGGCATAACATATAGAGAGGTTGACCTTTCCATGGCATATTGATTTCTCTTTGCAATAATTATGAAAAAAAGATCAAAAGCAATGTTACCTCTCATTATCTCTTTTGAAGGATTTGAAGAATGACGGTGTTACTGATGATTAGAAAACAACAGAAAACAAGACCGGGGCTTCGTGACAGAGCAACAGAAATAAAGATGACCAGAGACAATATATTACTGTGGGTTTTTTTTTTTTTCCTTGAAAGTACTTAAGAAACAACTAATGAAGGAAGAAGGTTAATAACAAGCTTGCTTCAGCTAATGAACTTATATATGTTTCCTTATCCATAATCTGGTCGAGTTGTATTTTGACTCTGACTCAGATTAATGAAATGGTAAATCTGCTGTCTTGTTGCTGTTAATAATAGGGCTTTGCTTGGTTTCTTTGTTGACCAGTGCAACAAAAGCATCTTCACTGAGTGTCAGAACCTTCCCTTTTGTTGGTGGTGCCAGCAGGTCTACGACAGTGGCAGTTAAGGTTAATGTGAGATGTTAAGTCTGAGACTGCATTGAAGTTTAAGGGAAAGAAATATCCACTTCTTTAAAAGATGTAGACAGTTTGAGGGAGTCTGGGAAGAAAAAGGGAAGGAAGTGTACATAAAGTGGATGTGACAAGTACAAAGGAGCAATTCCTGCTAATTGTATCAAAATTTCTTTAATCAGGTAGAAAAAAGAGACCTGCTGAAACAGTAGGCAACCATGGATATGCCTGGATATTATCTTCATAAGTAATACTTATCCCTTCTGGATAATATGCTTGTGGAAAAAAGGAGTTATAGTTTGTCTCTAAAAAGTAATTTAATGTCTGTAGGTAATGTATAATTATATACATTTCATTTCATTTTGGTCATAATTATAACTGAATATAAATCTTGTTGTTGGAACATGGTGAGATATGTATTCAAGTATGGTAACCCTGGTATAATACTGTGTTCATTTATACCACAGCCCTTCCACCAGCAAATGTGGGCATTCTCATGGTTGTGTTCTTTTTCATGTATATATTATTTATTTATTTTTTTGCCATTTAATTCTATCTCAGCAATTTGTAAACTGTGTTTACTTTTACTTTATGCTTAAATGGTAACCATCACTTATACATTTATTCAGCTTTTCGGACACTTTGCTGTATACTGATATCGAATAGTCAATATGGCAGCACAGTGGCTAAATGGTTAGCACTTCTGCCTGGCAGTACGGAGGTTGTTGGTTTGAATCCCAGCCATGGCACCTCCTGCCTGAAGTTTGCATGTTCTCTCCCTGTGCCTGCATGGGTTTCCTCCCACACTCCATAAATATGCTGGTAGGTTAATTGGATCCTGTCTAAATTGGTCCTAGTATGTATATGAATGTAAGTTAGGGACCTTAGATTGTACACTCTTTGAGGGTTAGGGACTGATGTGAATGTACAATATATATGTAAAGCGCTGCGTAAATTGATGGCGCTATATAAGTACCTGAAATAAATAATAAATAAATATGTTCTCTGATCTTCATGTTACATGATGAGGCACAAAGAAAAGGGTTATTCTAAAGCCTGGTACACACGGTGAGTTTTTAGCAATGTTGGTACAGCGATCTCCCCTCTGTGCTATCGTGTTCTGACAGGGGGACTGCCCCCTCCCTCTGCTAGAACACACAGGTCAGCGCTCGCAGCCATTGTCTAAGAGTTCTGATCGGATGCCAATAGGCTGCTGGTTTTCAAGCGTGCTTCTGCAACAGAAATTGGTCGTGAGATTGTCTTCTGTCAAATAACGACCTGTACACACAGACCGAATGTTGACCTGTATCTCCTGTAACAGCTGATTTCGGCCAATATTTGGTCCATGTGAATGAGGCTTTAAAGCAGGGTTCCTCAAACTACAGCCCGCTGGCCACATGCGGCCCACCGAGGACGTTTATCCAGCCCGCCGGCAGGGGCGTATTTGCCGCGAGGAAGGGACACTAAGTTCAGGGGTTGTATCTTACCTGGCTCCGGTCCCAGTCCCCACAACGATCCAGTCCAGGAAGAGATGCTTCTTCATTCACTCCGGCCACTCCCTCACTCGATGTACATGCTGCTGCTCGGCTCCGCCTCCTCACTGGTGATTGGGCACCAGAACTGTAGCTCAGGAAAGGCACACAGAGGCCGGAGTGAAGAAGGACAGCTGACAGGTAAGTGTGCCTGGCAGATGGTGCTGCTGCAACCAGGTATGCTTGCTGCAGCAGCACCATGCTGGAGCAGGGGTCAGCAAGTTAAGTGTCATTGGTGTCAGTGGAGGAATAGTGCCCCATCAATGGTGTCAATGATACTAATGATGGGGCATTATTCCTCCCACTGACACCAATGATGGGGCACTATTCCTCCCCCCACTGACACCAACGATGGGGCACTATTCCTCCCCCCCACTGACACCAACGATGGGGCACTATTCCTCCCCTCCACTGACACCAATGATGGGGCACTATTCCACCCTCCACTGACACCAACGATGGAACACTATTCCTTCCCCCACTGACACCAATGATGGGGTACTATTCCACTGACACCAATGTTGGGACACTATCCCCCCCCCCCCACTGACACCAATGATGGGGCACGGTTCTTCCTACTGACACCAATGATGGGGAACTATTCCTCCCACTGACACCAATGATGGGGCACGTTTCTTCCCACTGACAACAATGATGGGGCACGTTTCTTCCCACTGACACCAATGATGGGGCACTATTCCTCCCACTGACACTGATGATGGGGCACGATTCTTCCCACTAACACCAAAGATGGGGCACTATTCCTCCCACTGACACCAATGATGGGGCACGGTTCCTCCCACTGACACTGATGATGGCGCACGATTCTTTCCACTGACACCAATGATGGGGCACTATTCCTCCCACTGACACCAATGATGGGGCACTATTTCGCTCCATAAGACACAGTTGGGGGGAAATGTCTGTGCGTCTTATGGAGCGGCCGGCCCAGTATTCCCGCCGCCGTTGTATGTCCGCAGTCTCTGGTCATCTCCTGTAAGTGTCAACATTTGTTCATAGTTTTTTTTTTTTTTAAACTATAGTCCGGCCCTCCAACGGTCTGAGGGACAGTGAACTGGCACCCTGTTTAAAAATTTTGAGGACCCCTGCTTTAAAGTGTAACCTCATGTTAAATTACACACTTAATGCTATTGCTGTGTTTGTGGTATATATATATATATTTTTTTTAGACCGTGAAAGTTTGCAGAGAGCTGAACAGCAGCTGCCTGTGCACATTATGTGTAGTTTCTGAACCTTTTATTTTGATAAGGTTTATTTTGTGCCCTCGAAACCAGAAGGATTCATACATATTATATTATACATATATTATTTATTTATTTTAACTAGCATAGGTGTTAGTGAGTGAATTTTATTGAAATATTTGGAACACTGCCAAAATTTGCTCAGTGGGTGGCCCTGTCAGTACCATCCTGCTTGACTACCATTGATTAAAAAATGTAAAACGCTATGTGGAAAATTGTTGGCCAAACAGTAGCTGCACCTAATCAGATATAGGCATTGCTTGGTTATTTTGACAGCTTGTAAGGAGGGTAAGGGGCAGCAGGGTTGTGGTTGTTTGTCACATCCTCCTTGTTTTCCAATTAACTTGTTGGGTGCCAGATCTGGGAAACATGAGAGGCCTACTCCTGGGGGGAGTTCTTCCGGACTACACTATGCACCTTGTACAGGGTGTCTCTCCTTCACACACGTGGGGTGCCTTTTACTTTAGTGCCATTTTCACCAATTCTTTGGGAGAAGGCTAAGGTTGCCATCAAGGAATACTCGAGCTTAAGGCGGGCCTCTACTCCTAGAAATGAATATATACTATGTACACTTGCACAACAACTGTTCTCCAGTTACTCATGGGTCCCCGTGCAAATGTGCCTTTTCCCATAGTAGCTTGCATATTAGGCAGGCCATGCTGAACACTGACCACAGCCACCTGTCAAGCATTTCCCACTACCAGTCGAGGTAGCAGCATGGAACCCTGCCATGCACATAACTCAAGCCTCATTATTATTATTATTATACAGGATTTATATAGCGCCAACAGTTTGTGCAGCATTTGACTCTAACTCCTGAGATTCTGTACCTTTATACAGGATGGAGACCTCCACAATGCAGTTTTGCTATTGGAGACAGAATGCAGCATAGAGTGCAAACAACAATTCCTTCATGGCAAGAGGCAATTCCACCTAAAACAGGTATACACCATGGACTGGCTGCTCGCTGATTGTACCTTCGTTGTGTTCTTGGAAACCATGTGTGTAACATGCATTAAGCTGACTCCCAAATTTAATTCTTCATATCCATGTACAAGTTGTAGAATAAGTGTAAAGTTGTGCATTACACCTCTTTGAGGGACTTCAGACCAGGCAAAAGACAAAGTTTCAATGCTTTACTGAATAAAGTGCAACATTACAAATCCAACAAAACTTCAACAAAACAGTCAATTTTCCTAAATCCCTAGTCCCTAATCCTAATCAGGCTATGTACTTCCCAGGCATACCAGCAGAGGTGAGTCAATGTAATAGCGTTATCCAGCAAAGGCAAGTTCCAGAAGTTGGTCTCTTCAAGGCGAACCCCAAACCTTTAAAATGTACAAGGTGTTTGCACCTTCTCTGCACTTTTTCCAGGTGACTTTATCCTCAGGATTCTGGGCAGACAGCCAGGGCCAGGAAGTGAACTGGCCTTCTCTCACAGCAGATCCTCCAGACTCTAGACCAAGGCCATCAGTCACCTGCACTCTCAAACCCTACCTACTGTCCTAATTTATACTCACAGGTGCAGTGGATTGGACCCAATAATCCCACCAAAGGACTGTGAGAACATTAACCCCTACCCTCCCGGCTGGGACAGCACCTACCAACTAACTAATTTTAACCTGCTTACAAGCTCACAGTGGGAGATACATCCATCCATACTATTTAGCATGTATGAGGGAAACAGAGGGAGAATGAGAATGAAATTTTTTTTTTTCTTTAGTCTGCAAGCTGAATGAAAAAAATCTATGTGTGTATGGTCAGGCATAGGCTCTGATTGGTGAATTTAAGGCATAGCTAGGACAACTAGATTGCAAGATATAATCTCTCCAATGTATCCTTGAACTGGTTTAGGTCCCTATTGCAGTTAGATGAGCATTGAACAGTTCCCT